ATATATTAATTATATATATTATTTTATTAATTATTATAAAAAATAAAATTTAAAATTATCAAATTAAAACTAAATGCACCTATTATTTTTCTATTTTTTTATGTTGGTTGTACAACAAGAGACAACCATCTTTAATCCTTTATCTCACCCCACTTGCTTCTCATACGGCTTGAACTTAGAACGTGTTATTTCTAATGAAAAGAAATTATTACTAGATTATTTAAATCGTTGACCTAAACTTACATATTATTAACGTTTAAAATAAAATTAATTTTTATATTATTAATATAAATTAATAATAAAAAATATAATTAATATATTTTTAATAGAGATTAGTATTTGTCCACCTTACCTCCAAAAAGTTAGTAGAAAAAATGACAAAAATCACTTAATGCATGCTTTAAAAATATGGTAGTTTAGTATTTTTCAATAAAAATTTATTGAAACGACGTAGTTTTGAAATGATTTTCTTTTTAATATTTAAGAGATAAAGCTGATAGACGTTATTTTTCTTTTTAATATGTGCTTTTTAAAACAAAAGATATAAGATAAACAGAACCATAACCTTATAGTACAATTAAGGTTTAAAATTTAGGAATTTAGGGTTAGCTTTTAAATTAATTAATTTTTTTAATTGGACAATTATACATACACTCAAATAATCAACATCCATCTTAACATCTAAGGCTAAAATGAGGAGAGATAAATTTATAATTTTACTATTCATAAACATTAGGTGTTGAGATGGGTGTTGATTGTTTGGGTGTATGTATAATTATCCTTTTTAAATACTCGAAGTCAAGGTGAAATGTGCCTTTAACATCGTGCGATGTGAATAGATATTATACTTGAAGTTTCGTGCAAGTGCGAGTTTCCCAAAAACACTCTGAAATTTTGAAAGAGAAAATTATAGTTAACTCTACATTTTGCCCACAACTTTCTTTTTCAACTGATCAACATCGTGGATCTAAAAATTTCTACGGGATATTGTTTTTTCATCATTGAAAGTTTGATCTATATCCATATCAGGCAATTTTTCTTTGTGTCAATCAACAATGGAATCATTATTTTCTCGAGGGGATTAGATATTTTTATTGAATTTTGACTTATGAAATAGATATTTGACAATAATTAGATCTATTAATAAATAAAAATATAAATAAATTAAATAAAATATCAAAATGTTTAAATTTTGAACTCAACACTTCAACAACGAACTTAAGTTTGAACTCAAAAAAATAAAAATCAAGTTCAATTCATCTATCAGATAAAAATTATATAAGTCAATAACTAATGAAATTATTGTGGAAATATGTAAGATAAAATGAACAAATAGATTTGTGAGGAAAAACCCTTCTGCAAGATGCCAGGAGTGGTTGTAGTTTTCCATTTATATATAATTACAGGATGAAATTTGAATCTTAATTACAATAATTGCAGAAATAACCGTTGGTTAAAATCACTGATTTGAAGCCTTAGTGGTTGATTGCATCTTCCTATTATCTTGGAGATTAGTTGCTGGATTCTTGCTGGAGTCAATTAATTCTGATTTGCTATGATTTTGAAAATCAAATGCCTTGCTTGAATCATGGACAGCATTTAAACTCGATGATCTTTGAACCCCATTTAAACTTGATGCCTTGCTTGAATC